TGTGTTTCTCTGATTGTCACCTTGGTGCAAATACACTTTATGACGTCCAGTATGGCGGCGCAGTATGGGGGCACCTAACCCTAACCCTAACCCTAATTCTAACCCTAACCCTAAACCTAACCCTAACCCTAACAATAACAGTTGTTAGGGTTAGGGTTAGAATTAGGGTTAGGGTTAGGGTTAGGCGCCCCCATACTGCGCCGCCATACTGGACGTCATAAAGTGTATTTGCACCGGCGCCCCCATACTGCGCCGCCATACTGGACGTCATAAAGTGTATTTGCACCAAGGTGCCAATCAGTGAAACACATTGAGGAAAGAAGGTATACGACCTTATAGTTATGATATAACATTTGAAATCCTAATAATCATATGTTTGTGCAAGCTCTGTTTACCTCTGTTTCAGTGTTTGCCCAATCTCAAGATTGGTTGCCCAAACTGCGGATGTTTGTGCAACCCAACAAGTTTGTGCAAGATTCCAAGTTTGGGCACAACAACCCTACTCTTGTTGGGTTACATTATTCATTTATTGTACATGACTGAAAAAGACAGACAACTGTTAATGTTAGCTCGTTCGTCGGGCTAACCAACAACTATAGAAACAATAGATTAATACACTAGCTGGGCTCTCTATATATTTGCTATTCCTACATACACCTAATACTCCAAAGCGTTCGCGTCCCGTTCGTACCAGATTCACGTCTGACGACGTCAGATTCGTACGACATGTGCTTCCGTTTCTCCACTGTTGCGTCCGGTGCAGTGTAACAGCGTGTTTATTCTTCAGGATATTTTACCTCTGTTGTCAGCATATATTATACAGCTCAGTGCATAGACCAAAAAAAAATATTTTGTAAGCTGTAGTCTGTGTTCACACATAGACTAACAATAACATATATAGCCATAATATATTATATATACTTTTTACCTCAAGTGTTTGCATTTGCGCTGCAACATTACTGCAGAATATTTATTTTATGACACACCGAGGCAAACGCTAGACTAGTACCCGTTCGCCACCTTTACTCCGGCAAGTATCCTTCGCTACATTGACGCGTAGTTGACTGACGCGTTAGTGTAGCGTGAGGAACTGTCGACCGGGTACAAGTCTAGGTAAACGCTTCCATCGGCTGAGTTAGACTGGTACCCAGTCTCACCTCTCGGCTTAGGTCCACCTCCCATCGAGTAATCGAGGTGGGAGCGAGTACCAGTCTACGGCTAAGTTGGCAAACGTTCCCCGCGCTCTGACGTCAGACTTGTTTTGACCAGCATATGATGATCATGTGATATACGTGCTCGCTGCTCTGCGTTTTGATTGTCGTTTGTGGTAGCCATGTCATAATATCATGTTTGTTGATCATTACTGATATTTAAAGAATCAAGTGCAGACAGCAAGATAGATGTAGGCCGGGCCTACCCGCGCTCACTACTCAGGTATGTGAGGGTGTAACTGTAGCCGTGTGTACTGTAGGTGATCTGTCGTCTACTCTATAGGCCCAGATTAGCCACAAGTTCCCATCTCGCTTTTAAACACTACGTGGCGAGAGGCTCCGCCGTTCCTCCGCCGTGTAACTAGTCGGAGAGCCTGGTCGGTTTAGGCCCAGATGAAAACAAATCAAATTCAGTGGTATTAAGACAATAGGCCCCCTTAGTCTAGAGCATACTACAACGTCATGCCGTTTGGTGAGATACTGAAATCGGCTGTGAAGCTGCTTCATATGCCAACTAAGTTGCAGTCGTTCGTAATTGGCAACGCCAACGGCAAGCAGCAGTTCACTCCGTTGAAGAAATGCAAGGATCTGATTGCCAGTCGGTACGAAAAGCAGCAGGCGCAGCGGTTGAAGAGCTTCGGTCGTTGTAACCAGTCTGTGCGCTACCACCAGCACGCACCCGCTGCTAGGCAGATAACCCAGCGAGTGTCGGGCTGGGCGCGCGACACCCAGGCTGCACGCATACGACGTGATGCGGCGTTGAATTTCAAGTCACGTTCCGTTAAGAATGCCGGTGCCACTCTGGGATTCATAGCCTTCGGCCTTGCGACAGTTTCGCAAGATGACGAACTCGAAGATGAGGACAACACTGACAACCGTTCCCACTTCATTATTAAAGTAATATATAATTATAAATATAAGGTACATATATGTCACTATATTAAATGGTAATAACGAACAGTGTATGGTAAAACATGCATTAAACATACAGTTATGACATAGCTTTGGAGTGTATGTATTGTGACCTAGCATGTTTTAGCAAGCCTAGACATCGCCTATATTTATTTTTATATAGTAACAATCATCATCGGGGTGCCATATCCATTTGAACGTTGGCTACCACAGATCGCCACTGTGTTCTATTGTTTGTCATCTGTAAGAGACCAGCAGCAGTACGTCCCCCCTCCAACAGTCCACACTGGACTGTCCATATACTTGCGCCGTAGTCTCCCTCTTGGTCTTCTACTTTCAATCTTGCCGGCCACACATACTTGCTACCACTTTACTAGTACTTGTGCAGAAAGTACTTTTTGTATATATATATATATTTTTGCCCCTTCATGTCATTATTTTAACTGCCCAACACTATTGCATCTATCAGATTTTATCTCCATGAAAAGGACTGTCTTCAGTACATGTATTTGTATTTGAAAACATGCAATGAAGATTAATAATAATTTAATAATAAAAATAGTATTGCTAAAGTGTAAATATATCAACTTATCATATCATATACTTGTATAACAATATTTATGAGTCAGTAAATATGAGACAAATAGTATCAAGGGGTTAATCATGACATTATTTGTCATTATTAACCCCTGATAGTATGTATTCAAATGATTTATTTCGCTATGTTATTTTCAGACAAGATTTTCAGCCCGATATCCATCATTTGGCACCAGCGATGCTGGTTTGAATAATATTGGAAGTTGCCTGGCTGAATATGATTTTGGTCAGTTCATTGGTAAAGGCTGCAATGGTGCTGTATATGGAGCAAAGCTGAAAAGTGAGGTAAATCCTGTGTGGTGGATCTCTATGTAATACAGTTGCTTGCTATTTAAACATAATATATTGGACAAAGTTTCATGGCACTTGTGAAGTCAGGCATTAACGTGGTTTAATAATTGGCCAAAGTGAAGCAATCACATTATGGCAAATGGCTTGCTATGCTGGCATACCACATGAATTATATAACTATGGTTTGTGCAGCACCAGCCCACCCTATTATATTGATGCTATGCGGATGGCCTATGCTGGACAACGCTAACAGCACTTATTTCTGGCACACGTTTATTTTAGTCTGGATGTTATTTTAGTTTCACGTTATCCTTGTGCTGTATGCAGTTGGGTAAGCACCTACAAGCATTAACTAGGAATGCTCTGCTTCGCAGTTTTGCTACAGTGACAGCGGCATAGGAGCAGACAGCAATTGCAGCAATGATGAGGAGGAGGAGAGTGAGAATCTGGAGGCTGACTACTTGGGATCTGATATCGATGTAGAGGACCTCAGAGCTGTGGAGGGTCAGGAGAGTGTCACTCCTTCATCTGCACTAGCCATTAGCACGAAAGAAGATGACTCTATTGAAGAAGAAGAAGTACATCTATCAGGTTGTACAGCTATAAGTAAACCCGCTCTTACATAATATAGAAAGGCTTAACTGTAGCGAAGTGCAAATCTGCTCAGAAAGAACTCCCTGGGATAACTTTTGCTAACTCACCATTTCACATAACCCTAGAGTGACGCCCAAGTCTCGGTAAAGAGTCTCGAGGTACACATATGGACGGTTCTAGTGTGTGAGAATTGTTGATCTAATAAATATGAAACCAACAAAAATGATCAAACAAACAACAACTATTTTCTGTATTTAGCAGATGGTGCACCCTGTGGCTCTGTTTCCAATCATGAGTTTAGAGACGACAGAAATGGGGGCTATAATTTGGCCATCAAGGTCGTATTCAACTATGACCATGACCCCTACGATCGCACACCACAGACCACTCAGCTGCAGTGCCTGTTACAGGAAGCGGTGCCTGCCAAGGCATCCAGTTGCTTCAACCACATGGATCCATGGCAGAACGGGTATCTCTCATGTTTGTTACTATTTTCTGCTGAGCAGTAAGTATGCTATGTGCTGTATATGTCTCGTCTTAAAGTTATTAAGCAAGTGAGCATGAGAACCTGCGATTAAGACAGGCAGGGTGCGAAATTAACGGGAGTCCGGAGTCAAATACTCCCTGATTTACTGTCGGACTCCCTCATTTGACATATGCAGGAGTCCGTGTGACTCCCTGAAACTTCTGCCATATACACTAACTACTTCGTTCCGGAGCACGGCCTCACGGAATTACCGTATTTTTTCAGCTAATGTCCAAAGAAAATTAGGCGGACGTGCAACCGCATGAATCTTAAAAATAAGCACATGCGTTATTGTTAATATCTTTAATTTTGAACCTCAGACTGCGGACTCCCTCATTTTGCTGCGGACTCCCTCTTTTTGAGGGTAGGGAGTCCGTTGGACTCCCGTGTTCAAAAGTTAATTTCTACCCCTGGACAGGTAACATCGCCGTCTTCATTCATCATGTTTCTGCATTTCCTAAGGAATAAGGTGAGAATGAAGCGGCTCCAACCTCACGTTAACATCGTCGACATGCCGCACGTGATATACGGAAGCTGGCCCCTTGAACTATTGCCGACGGCTGTGCAGGAGTACCCTGAGGCCCTGCCACCCAGCCTCAACCCCCTGACCGGACTCGGCCACAACTCCACCATCTTTCTCGTCATGAAGAGGTAGAGTTGGAAGAAGAATTAGCATACACACGAGAAGGAGAGGAGAGATGGGGGGGGGGGGTAAGAGTGAAAGAGAGAGAAAGAGAAAGAGAGACAGAGAGGGGTGGGGCAAACAAATAAGCAGAGAATTTATTACCCCCATCCTCTATTATGAACATCAATCAATCACGATATTAACATCAATAATGTCATATACAATATGTAATATCAATAGGTCGTAAGCTTAATTGCTATCAATTTCTTAATGTTTTGGTTTGTTACGTTGTTTTCAACTCGTATATTATCTACTAACCTGTGATATGTTATGCAATAAAGCTCCACGGCGTACTACGTTACAGCAGGCCCGTAGCCAGTGGGGGGTTTGCACGAACCCCCCCCCCCGAGCCAAAAAAAATATTTGCAAGAATTTCACCTCGGGTATGCACCAGATCGCTCCATTTTAGTGTAATAATTGCAAAATCTCCACACCCTCCCCCTGCTCGGTCGCTATGCTCCCTCGCTCGGTCGCTTCGCACCCGAGAAAATTGCCAACATTTAAAAACGAACCCCCCCCCAATATAAAGCTGGCTATGGGCCTGGTTACAGTACATACAGCTGTCATTACCTGTCAGGTTTGGCAACCGATTCTGCTGCTTGCTTTCAGGTACACACTGACGCTGACTCAGTACCTCACAGAGAATGATGCCAGCCCGACCGTGCGGCTGATGCTGTTCGCTCAGCTCCTAGAAGGCGTGACACATCTATGGCATCACGGCCTTGCTCACGGCGATCTCAAAGCTGACAACATTCTACTGGAATGCTCCAGTGGACGTAAGTAGCTACTCGGGGAAATTCCTGTCTCTCCGCTCCCCCTTTCCCGCTGCCGCTCTTGCGCCTGTTGTCAGCATAATCGTCAATCCATGAAAAATGTTGTAACTATGAGAAAATTAACGATAATACTTACAGTGTATAATTGAATATGTGGAAAAAGTGTTGTCAGAAACATAATATTTTCTCACGATCATTATACTAACTTAATTTTATGCCAACCTGAGCTAAATTTATTACATGCAAAGGATTTTGAAAAAATGCTTGATCGTATGACAGCAGATGGCAAAAAATAGTTGCTGTGCTGGTTTTCAATACACGAGGCATGAAGGGGGTACCACGCCCCAGTGAATTTAACCTTTCATTGTCATGTGGCATAATAAAACCTTTCCAAAATGCGATTGTAGGGTGGATTGTGTTTATTTTCAGATTCGTGTCCACAGCTGGCGATTGGTGATTTTGGGTGTTCATGCTGGATGGCTGAGCGTGTCTGTGTTGGTGGTAATCGAAATCTCATGGCTCCTGAGGTAGGTACTGAATGCTAAGCCACTTGGTTGCATGTCAGAAACGTGAAGACAGTGAAAAAATGTATTTTTTTTTCCGGGGTTCTTTTTGCAAACCCCCCCAAAATTTCGGGGGCTACTTTTTCATTTTCCAGGGCTGTTTCCTCAAATGTACACACAAGCACAGTAGCTAATACACACTCGCGGGAGCGCGCACACACCACACACACGTCACACGCACGCACGCACGCACGCACACACAAGTCACAACCACAAATGTACCTTGAATAGTGAATACATCACAGGTTCAGCTAAACACAGAACTATTACGGCTAGCGCAAATAGTGGAGTGTCTGCCTGTATGAGCGAGGAGGATCGATTGTTTATACGCGAAGTCTCTTGCGGCTGGGATCTTGGGCCCGCGTAAGGGCCCTGGAAGCTCAGGGGGTTTGAGAAAGCGGCCCACGAGGCACGTGTGTATGGCTGTGCACATCGACGCTGCGTACGTGCCTGCTGGCAGGGGCGGCATTGATTGAAGTATGAGGGGGGAGCGTGGTACTAATCACTACTAAAATGTAGAGGGTTGGCATTGCTGGACTATTAGAGAGCGACAGCAAAACTCTTT